TTTTTTTTTAATTTCTATTAAACTAAACTTATTACACAGTTTTTGAAATATGTCAATGACTAATTCAAATAATCTTTAGTAAAAGTAAGATGATTAATTAAGAATAATAAATTTCAATTTGTAATAGATTTTTGAAGCCACCTTTCATTTCTTAATCATGCTTGTCCTTACTATGTGTTTGGTGATAAATTTGTGTGGAGGATATGCTTCCTCTTTTCTTGATTTGTGATGGGTATTATTTCCTAGATATTTATGGAGAAAATTAAGTGAAAATTCTAATTTTTAATTTAGAATTTATAGTTTTATTTTTTATTTTTTTATAGTGTTTAACTTTTTTTTTTTATTTCTATTAAACTAAATTTATTACACAGTTTTTGAAAGATATATTTCTTAACAATTTCAATGTGGGACTTAGCTTCTGAAAGATACATTTTCCAACAATTTGGTACCTTTGTTTCTATAAAACGCAAAGCTCTCTTCTCTTTCATTTCACTTGTTGAATAGTCCGTGTTTGGAATCAGGGATAAAGATGATCAGAGGTGCCATGTACGTGTTTCTGGCTGCATTTTTGTTCTTCAATATTGCTGAACATGCTTCTGTAAGTTGTGCTTTGACGAGTGAGTTGCAGAGAAAAATTGCAGAAGCAAACGAAAAGGGGCCTTATCTAGGTTTAATCATACCAAATTCTTTTGAACTTAGCCCTCTTCTTCAGAACCCAGGCTACACACCCTATGACACCGTAATAGACTTTGCTGGTACATGCATATGTAACATTCATACGAAATATTATTAATTATAACTTTCTATGCTCTCATTCTCATCTATATGAAACATGGCTAATTATTAATGAAGGAAAGAGATTTCGGTTTGGAGCCATTGGTGACAAGCCTGTCATACTGGTGATGACAGGATTGAGCTTGGTATATATGGCTTCCTTTTTCTTTTTATTTTGGGTTCACATTTTTTCCTATATATTTCTGAGGGCTTCATTATTTGGAATTTGTTTTTGTTGCTGAAATATGCAGATAAATTCAGGTATAACAACTCAGCTTCTCCTGAGTTTCTTCGCAGTAGAAGGAGTAGTGCATTACGGCATTGCTGGAAATGCAAATCCTTCCTTGCATATTGGAGATGTAACCATTCCCAAACAATGGGCTCATCTTACACTTTGGAGTTGGCAGGTATATACACATACATACATATATGTATATATATGTATGTACGTAGAAGTATATTTAAGGAAAGAAAACTGATACCTTTACTTGTGCTCTGGAAAAGTAGGAAGTGTATTCTTTTACGGCTGGCTGGATGAGATCTGACGCATTAATTCACCCCGTTTTGAATCTGATATTGCAAATAACTGAATGATTATAGAAAGGTGAAAGATTAATGAATGATTTGGGTGTTGAGCAGAGACATGGACTGGGACCTGATGATACGTTACCCTTGGAAGACAATGGAGACTACACCAGAAATTTAGGGTTCTTAAAATTTGCAGATTTCACCACAAACGTAAGTGATGATAGTTCCGCAGACAACCAGCTAAACAATATATGGTACCAACCTGAGGAAATTTTTCCCGTTGATGGCGTTCCGGAAGAAAGGCAGCATGCCTTCTGGGTTCCAGTTGATTCCAATTACTACCGCATTGCTGAAAAACTTCAGGTAAATCATCGCAAAACCCTAATCTTCAGCACAAAATCAAGAAATTTCTTTATTTATTTGGATGGGTAATTTTTTTAAAAATAATATATAATTAAGGCTCTGTGTGGTATAAAAATGATTTATGAGAAAAAAAAGTCAAGGAATATATATTGATAGGGTGGTTGAAATGGGTTTTAATTTAGTTTGATGATGATTGGAAGTAGATATTGTTATGGTAAAAAGCAGTGATTTTAACGTTCAGGGGTTGAAGTTAGAGTCGTGCGTAAACTCGACGACGTGCTTAAGCTCAACGCCGAAGATGCAGTTTGTGAAGAGAGGAATTAGCCAAAGCATCTACGTGGACAATTCGGCATACAGAACATTCATCTACAACAAATTTGAAGTGAGTCCGGTGGACATGGAAACTGCATCTGTCGCTCTTATATGCCTTCAACAAAGGATACCTTTCATTGCTATTAGGGCTCTCTCCGACTTGGCCGGCGGTGGCTCCGCCGAGTCCAACGAAGCCGATACCTTCTTATCCATCGCCGCCGCTAATTCTGTCAGCACCGTCATTGAGTTCGTTAAGCTCTTATCTTCCCACTGAGTAGCAATCCACGTTGCATATGTAACAAACAAACAACTTCGCCGTACGTTGTTTCCCAATAATAATAATAATCCATGCATTCAATTATTCTAATAGAGTTTATGAAGTTAACGGAACTTTGTAATTATTGTTTTGACTTTGACATTGACATGTTAGAGTTCATATTTTTAATATTTTTGACATACGTTTTTCAAAATTTTAATATTATATTCATTGCTCGTAACATGAGACTCTAATTTCTATGAATAGATAACAAATAAGTGCATCATAATTAAAAAAGGACGGTAGAAAAACACATCAAATTGACATAGTATAACAATACGTTATCTATAGTATAACAATACGTTATCTTGATCTTCATCCATTTTTTGTTAACTTGCAAATTCAATCAAAGAATGAACAGTGTGTTTGACACTTTTAAAAAGGATGACACAATTATAGCCACAAATAAACATTGCTTCCAAGATGTGACAACAATTAAATTTAGGCCAATTAAATTCAAATTGTGTATAAGCACAAAATTTTTAAAAATATTTGGATGATATACTTTTAAAACCATTTTAGATATATTGACAAAAACTTATTTTGTTCTTTTTTGACAAAATGTAACATGATTGAGGGGAGATTATGTATGTCACACTCATATTTTTTCATGTGTTGCATCGATGTGACTTATGTCGGTGACTTTTCTTGATTTATCCAAAGACAACATTAATGAGTTTTACTTGATATGTTCATTAAAGTTTTTTCACAATAGTATATGGAGTGAAACTAAACTTTTTTTTAAAAGTCTTTAATGTGTTGAAGCTATATTGTGTATTTAAAATTTTTATTTTTTTTCCACATAAAGTATGTTTCATCACTCTTAACATTGTAACCCAATAATTTGTCATACGCAGAAAAGTTATTAATAATACAAAAATAACATGTATCAATAAACATATCTTGCTTTAACATAAGATTCTTTTGCAAAAGGATTTTGCTTTAACAAAAATCACGTGCTTCATTAATAATTGATTCAAAAACATTATTAGTTTGGTTCATGATTGACAACTCCAACAAATTATCATCCTATGTCCATGTAGTATGATTTTTAAAATATTTATCAGAGATTCCCAAATTTATCAATAGTCAAACTATTTAAATTTTTCATATAAAACTTCAAAAATAGTGTTTTAAAAATGGTGGTAGTCTAAAAATAGTGAGACTCAATTATTTTAATATTAAACAGTTATTATAAATAGTTTTGTTATAAACGAGAGTTTTATTATTTTAAAACGTATCATCTCTCTAGAAACCACTTTACTAGAGTTCTATACTTTCTCTCTAAGAGTTATTGATCTCAAGTCATTTATTTGACGATTAGGAGGTGCCTAGACGATCACGGCGTCAAGGTCTACAACCTCAAGCACAATCAATTCGTTGTTTAGAACAAGTAAGTCAAAAACCCTTTTCTTTGGTATTCTAGGGTTCTTGATCATGCACGACGTTTCTGTTTTGCATGGATCAAGACTCTCTCTCTTCTTTGTTTCTTGGTTCAATTTAGGTTATAAGATTTCTCTCCAATCACCAATCGGTGAGTTGTAGGTTTTTGTAGAGTTTCCTTGCGGTGAAAGCATCGGTCGGGGTTTTCTAGAACAGTGTTGTGTTTCTCTAAGATAAGGGAAGCTGGATTTTTATCTCCGTTTATTTAACTATATTGTGCATGTGTGAAGAATATGTTAGTTATATATATAATGAGCTGAATTGTTGAATTTGATGTTAGAATGAATGTGCTTATTGTGGCTGTTGTAAGTGTGTGTGAAGAAACTATGAATATGAACTTATTTGGATGATGATTCTGATGTTATAGACTAGATGAAATGTTAAAATCTGTTATGAGATTGACTTATGAGAAATTTGAATGAAGTATACTGGTTTTAGGTAAGTTTTGAGGAAGTGGGGTAGTAAAATTGTGAATTAGTCAAAAGTGGTAGGATGGGATTTTAGTGTCTAAGTTGATGAATTTGATGATTTTGAGTAGAAATTGTGTACAAAATGCCTTAGATTGATGGTAGGAAGGTTTAAAATCCATTAGTCAAATCTAATTAGGTGTATAACATGAATTAGGATGGTTAGATGTTGGAAAAAATAGTTAGAATAGGTAAAGGGTGTTGAGTTGCATAATTCTATAGTATTTGGTGCTGCAGATTATGCAGACTTTCTGAGCGAATAGATTTGCACAGCGAGTCACCCTGGCGAGATGCTCTCTGCCAGGACATTCGCACAACAAATAGATGCATTGTGTGAATGGTTTGAGAGGTTTGCTCTCTGTTTGATGATCTGCATGGCGAATCAAGGCGATATGCGCCTGGTTGTGATCTGGGACTACTGTCATTTTTATTCGAATAACGAATAGGTGTGATCTGCGAGTGTTTGGGGAGTTTGAGCCACTGTTTGGGGCTCTCGTATAGTGAATTGGGGCGCTATGTGAGGGCTTAGGGTTTGATACAATTAAGAGTTTGTTCGCACAACGAATTTAATCGTTGTGCGAATGGTTATGAGGGGTGGGTCTTTGTATGAAGATTTGCAGAACGAGTTGGGTCGCTGTGCGAGAAACTTCTGGATTTGCTCTGCGAGTGTGTGCGTTGTGCGAATGGTCCAGGTTTTAGTTCACCTTTTTCTTTCTTGTATTCCCTGAACCTTTTCTTTCTTGTATTCCTTGAACCTGAATGAATTGTAATACATTGTAAAGCTTGTCTGATGTGTGAAATATAGTATATGATTTGGTATGATTATGAGTCATGTTCCAAGTAAAAGTATGTGAATCAAAGTGAGGAATGTATGTATCAATGTAGACTCTCTTGGTGAGATTCGAGTTGTTTTTAGAATGAATGCAGGAGCTCAGTCTTGGGGTTTATCCAGAAACTCCAATGGACTTTCATTCTCGTATAGAGAGGATTGATCCATGTCGTGAGGAGTAGTAGGAAGTCTTAGTCTTGGAGGCTTCCAATATGCTCCAAGGCGTGGTATAGACTAATCTCGTGAGTGTGATAGGGTGAAACCCATTGGCAATGACTTTGCAAAGCAGTGGAGGCCACCTCGAGTGCATAACCCTCCATAGCTCGACAATCATTCTAAGTCCGGACTGTCAAGTCTAGATCATAACATGTTAGGATGTTTGAACTAGTTTGTCTTGAATGAATACTTATGTGTATGTTGTAAGTTATATTAATATATGAATTGTTTTGTATCTAGCTTACCCTTTCTTCTGTGTTTTATGTTGTTTGTTGTTTGTCTTTTGCGATGATCACCTAATGGTGTGAGCTTAGGGATTCACTTTTTCCGTTGTTCAGCTTGAGGTGAGGGAGTAGCAAATGAGTTGTTAAATAGATCTACAAAAATAGATCTCTTCTTCAAACGAGGTTTGTTTTACCTAATTGTTCTTTTAGCATCTATGTAACATTTCATTTTAGTAATTTTATACTATTAAAATGAGATATTACACTAGCCTAAATATTTGTGTATAAACTTTATTACTCATATTACTATGCAATATATTAATTTAATTTCCATCCATAACATATAAACATTTAAATTTTCTCACCATGCATGCATATAAACTAAAGGTATATCCTATATCTCATTTATAAATACTCACTTTTTTTATAGTTAATTAATACGTAGATTTTAATTATTATTTTATATTGGTGTTCAAGTAAAAGAAAGGAAATGTGGTAAAATATGGATCATGTTAATAATTTTTTTAATAACTTTTTATTGATTTATATATATGAAACAAGTCAACCACAACAATTATAAAAAAGTTGTTAAAAAAATATTTTCCTTAAAATATAATCAAGTAGAACGAAGTACATACCTCAACATGAACACAGTATATACAACGAATCAAAATTTTATAACATGTATGGAATGCGGATCAAATCATGTTTCCAGAATTGTTCGACCCTACAATTTAAGATGCATTACAATGTTTATAACTACTACATCTTCATGTTTTCATACGGTATATAGTACAATAATATTTATTTGTGTTGAATTTTAAATGAGAAATAGTTAAAATCAGAATTATATCGTAAATCCCTGTTTTTATTAAAAACTAAAACTAGCCTATGTAAAAGTTCTTCTTCAAACAGATTTCTCTTTCTTCTTAAAAGCTCAATCTCTTCTCTTCAATATCTCACCCAAATCTCATCTTCTCCTTCATAAGAGGATATATAAGGAATTTGCGCATAGAGGAGAACCCAATCTAAGGAGTTAATGACAATAATGTTATTAAATCATGATAACATTATTGTTTGTTGTCTTATCCACGTGCATACCATGTATCTGCTTTCATTTCGGTTTGTTTTTAGTTTTCCCTTCTATTCGAGAACGCTGAAGAGGAGAGAGAGAGGAAGAGAGAGAGAGAGAGAGAGGAGATAGTAGATATAGAGAGATATATATGTGTGGGTTCGAGAGCGAGTTGTGTGGGAGAGGTGTGTGTTGTTTTGTGTGTGAGTGTGTGTGTGAGTGTGTGTGTGTCCGTGTGTGTGTGTCCGTGTGTGTCTGTGTGTCCGTGCGTGTCTGTGTGTCCGTGCGTGTCCGTGTGTGTGTGTGCGCGTGTGTGCGTGTGTGTGCGTGTGTGCGTGTGTGTGTGTGTGTTTGTGTGTCTGTGTGTGTGTGTGTCTGTGTGTGTCTGTATCTGTGTGTGTGTCTGTGTGTGTTTCTGTCTCTGTGTGTGTGTGTGTCTGTGTGTATGTGTTTATCTAAAATTTAGAATTACTATAAAAGTCCTCGTCCTTTGAGTAGAAAACGATAGAGATAAAATTATTTTATATGTTTTTCTAATTTTTTACGTTGTTCTAACTTTGAATGTAGTTCTGAATTCATTTTTAACTAAATTAGCCACCCCGTTGTCTAATAATTTGGTTTATTTAAATCAAATGTTGACCCCAAAAGCATATAATCTTGATAAAACAAATTAAGTGTTAGAGGATAAACATAATTAAAAATTCAATTTAAATTTATAATTAAGTATAATTTATCTGGAAGTTATAGTTTCACACCCGCCTTTCTTTTTGCATTTTACTGATTGCACCCCAATTGATTTAATTTAATTTTTGAA